CTCCCCCCCATGTAAACTGCAACACAGAGTTGACAGAAACTCATGGTGTGTTTGTTGTGTGGAACTGAATGGCCCTCATTGGTGTCAGGGTGCAAGTCACTTAAGACAACCTTGATAGGAAGAAGCTTTGCACCAGAACAGCCCTAAGCAGATGATCATTATACCCACTCCTCAATTGTTGACAGAGCTAGATTCCAAAGACCAGGTCATTATGAAAAATTGGCATTATGCAAAAATTATATAACTGCCAAATCACATATTGTATAACTGACAAGCCACTGGGAATCATGGCCCAGCCAAGTTGGCAAAAATCTTAACCATCACTGCCACCATCCCCCATACCTTACACTGTATTTGTGACTGCCAGACCTATGCCATTAATACACAAAATAGATAGTAGACATTTGACTATTGTTGTAAATTTGAAACGTTGGATAACAAGGTCGTTGATAAGTGAGGCGTAGGTGTACCATCTCCCATGTGTAAACTCTAAAGTGCCTAAGGTTCCTTAAAAATCATGACTTGGGTCTGAATGGGAACAAAGGTAACCACCCTCTGGTCTCCCAGTGGTCAGAACAGAGGCCTCGAAAATGGGGACGTGTGCTGTGGTTTCCATGTCCCTGACCACAGCATGTGATGCCTACATTTCTGAGGCTTTCCGCTTGAAACCTATTGCCAACTCAAACACCAGAGGCACTGTCTCAGCCAGATGGACCAGCGGTACCCGGAGCATGGGAACTCCTTTCCTGTCTACTGAGTTTTACCTAGTCTGACAGAAGAACTGGAGGGCTGTGACCCAACAGCATGTGCAGAGAGCTACTTGTACTAAAAGGCTCCCTGGGTTTCCTGCGTTTCTATCAATAGCCACTAATGCGTGCTTCAGCCTGGGTCCCAACTTCTTCGTCTGGAACATGGTGTTGGAATGGATGGGGTTTTAAAGCTGTATGCCACAGAGCACTGTGGTCCGGAGATGTCTGGGGACTCCCAGGGGAGAGAGTAGAAAAGGGCAGAAGAGGGACGTTGCTGCTAAAATTAAAGCTTGAAAGCAAATGAACTAGACAGTCTCCTTGATTCCATCTTGCCTTTTTTTTCTTTTTTAAGCTTTTTACTTTAAAATAATTTACAACTTACAGGAGGTGGAGGTGCCAATATGGTACAGAGTGTTCCTGAATCCTCTCCCGTCAGCTAGCTCCAGTGAGAAGACCTTTCTTAGCCACACAGCCAGAGTCCATTAGCAAAAACCAGGGCACTGACAAATACAGTACTATCAACTAAGTCACAGCCCTTAGGCTTTACATGCATAATATCAACGCAAGTATTTCTATTGTAAGATTTATGCACCAAGCACACTGTTCGAGGAAGGGAGAATTCAGTAATATTTGCTGGGTAAATACCACTAACCCAGGAAGAAAACACAGAGAGAACATCTGTTGCTTGTTCATTAAATATATAACCCACAGGATCTCATGTTAAGGGGTTGTGGGAGGATGTGTCTAAAGGTTTATCTGAAAATAGAATGTGCTTCTCTAAGTAAAGGAAGTGCATGTATTCTCCAAGCCGTTCTGACCAGCTGTTCAAAACGAAATCATTTGGAGGCACAAGCTGACTTGCCCTCACCCAAGGCATGACACTGGCCAGGGGCCATCGGGGGTTCCAAGATGGGGAAGGCATGGACAGGACACCAAGGCATGAGCTGCCCCCAACTGGTTTAAGAGTGGGTTTCATGGCAGATGTCCAATGAATCCTATAGACAGTGACTGCTGTGGCGTTCAGACAAGGCTCTGTGTGGCCAGGACAGGGGGTGAGGAGGAGCTGAGTCTTAGGGGTCCCTGTGTTCCAGGCTCACTTTGATCAGGTTGGGAGAGTAGTGTTGGATGGCATGCAGGCCTCCATTTGGGTGCCCGCAGGGAGTGCCCATGGCATCACTGCTTTTGCTTTGGTTCTAACCATCACCTGGCATAACCCCTTTATCCAAAATCTCACCTGCTGAAATACCTAAAAAGGCATTATCAAAGGCTGCTTCCTCCTCCCAGGAAGCGTCTCCAGATGTCAGCCCCAGATAAGATTCCTTTCTCCTGTTAACTTTCCAGCACATTTTATTTCTTCTGTCTTTTGTATGTTGCTTATCACGTTCTGCCAGTTATGATAATAATTACTCTGTCTCCTTTTTCATCTTTCCCTCATTTATCTCTCTCTGTCACATACACACATGCACACACATACATGACAGACACAACGATCTAAAAAAAATAGGTTAGAGAGGTCATAAAGTATACTGATGAGGTAGAGCCAAAGATGAGACTTTAGTATTATGCATTAACTTCAAATCTGAGCTTCTTGGAGACCAAAGCAAAAAGGGACCGCTTAAAGGGTTTCCTTCAGACCGTAATGCTCCCGGGGGCAGACAATGGTATCCTCTAAAATCACTCTACCATGAGCATGGTGGAACACTGGTATATGTGTGTGAGAAGAACGAGTCGGCTTCAATGACACATGCGCTACTGTTCACTTGAAGGAGCTCTGGTAGCGTAGTGGTTACGAATCGGGCTGCGAACCTTAAGGTCAGCGGTTCGAAACTACCAGCCGCTCCACGGGAGAAAGATGAGGCTTTCTACTCCCGTAAAGATTTACACCTTCGGAAACCCTGTACAGGGTCGCTATGGGTTGGAACCGACTCAACAGCACTTAACAACAACAACAACAACAAAAGGGGGACATTGTCTAAATGTCCAACACATGAATGGAATGCATACATGCAATGGAATTTAAACCCCCCTAAAACCAAACCTCAATTCATTGCCATCAAATCAGTTCCTACTCATAGCAAGCCTATGGGGCAGAGCTGAACTACCCCCTGGGATTCCCGAGGCTGCCAACTTTACTGAAGCAGGCTGCCGCATCTTTCTCCCAGAGAGTGGCTGGTGGGTTCAAACCACTGACGTGGTGGTTAGCTGCTGAGTGTTTAACTACAACAACACCAGGTTTCCCTAATGGACTATTTACTCAGCCATGAAGAGAACTGAAGTCAGTCCTGATACAGACTACAGCCCGGATACATCTTGAAAAAAATGCTGCTGAGTGAACTAAGTCTGTCACAAAAGAACAAGTGTGTTATGATCCCACATATATGAAACAGGCAAATGTATAGAGTCCTGGTGTGGCACTGTAGGATAAGCACTGGACTGCTAACCGCAGGGTCAGCAGTTCAAACCCACCAGGGGATCCTTGGAAACCCTACACAGGGTTGCTATGAGCCAGAAATGACTCTATGGCACTTATCAACAACAACATAGAAAGCCTGTCAATGGCGATCAGGCGGGGGGAGATTGGGGGAAAGGGGAGTCACTGCCTAGGGGCCCTGAGTTTCGGTTAATGGTGGCAGGATAATTTGGGAAAGAAACTGGCAATGGTTATTCAACATGACGAATGTAACTAATGTCACTGGATTGTACATGTGAAAAAAGTGGAGATGGCAAATGTTTTATTACATGCATACGCAACTCAAAGTTTAACAGGGCCGACTTTGGTCAGCACATACCAGAGGGTTCTTTCTCGATGACAGGATCTCACATAGAGGCAGACCTCGGAGACAGGCAGGTTTGGTTCCCGACCACGACAAAAAAGTGAGCATCGCAGTAAAGCAAGTCACACAAGTTGTTTGATTTCCCAGAGCCTATAAGAGTTATGGAAGGAGCGCTAGTATCGTAGTGGTTA